TCTGGGGAAGGCTTGGGAAGGTCTTGGGAAGGTCTTGAGAAGGTCTTGGGAAGGTCTTGGGAAGGTCCTTGGACTGGTCTTTGGGGAAGGTCTTGGGGAAGGTCTTGAGAAGTCTTGGGAAGGTCTTGGGAAGTCTTGGGGAAGGTCTTGGAAGGTCTTGGGAAAGGTCTTTGGGAAGGTCTGGGGTAGGTCTTGGAAGGTCTTGGGAAGGTCTTGGGAAGGTCTTGGGAAGGTCTTGTGAAGTCTTGGGGAAGGTTCTTTGGGAAGGTCTGGGAAGGTCTGGAAGGTCGGGGGGGGGGGGGGGGGGGGGGGATGGGCGTGGGAAGGTCTTGGGAAGTCTTGGAAGGTCTTGGAAGGTCTTTGGGGAAGTCCTTGGAAAGGTCTTGGTGAAGGTCTTGGGAAGGTCTTGGGTAGGACTTGGGAAGGTCCTTGGAAGGTCTTGGAAGGTCTTGGGACAGGTCCTTGGGAAGGTCTTGGAAGGTCTTGGGAAGGTCTTGGGAAGTCTTGGAGGTCTTGGGAAGGTCTTGGAAGGTCTTGAAGTCTTGGGAAGTCTTGGGAAGGTCCTTGGTTGGGCTTGGAAGGTCCTTGGGAAGGTCTTGGGAAGGCTTGGAAAGGTCTTGGAAAGTCTTGGGGAATTAGTATGGGGGAAGGGCTTGGGAAGGTACTTGGGAAGGTCATGGGGAAAGTCTTTTGGGGAAGGTCTTGGGAGGGTCTTTGGGAAGGTCTTGGAAAGGTCTGGAAAGGTTTTGGGAAGGACTAGGAAGGTCTTGGAAGGTCGTTAGAAAGGTCTTTGGAAGTCTGGGAAGGTCTTGGGAAGGTCCTTGGGAAGGTCTTGGGGAAGGTCTTGGGAAGGTCTTGGGGAAGGTCTTGCGAAGGTCTTGGGAAGGTTTTGGGAAGGTCTTGGGGAAGGCCTTGGAGAAGGTCTTGGGAAGGTCTTTGGGAAGGTCTTGGGAAGGTTTTGAGGAAGGTCTTGGGAAGGTCTTGGGGAAGGTCTTGGGGAAGGTCTTGGGGAAGGTCTTGGGAAGGTCTTGGGGAATGTCTTGGAAAGGTCTTGGGAAGGTCTTGGGAAGGTCTTATGAAGGTCTTGGGGAAGGTATTGGGGAAGGTCTTGGGAAGGTCTTGGGAAGGTCTTGGGGAAAGTCTTGGGGGAGGTCTTGGGGAAGGTCTTGGGAAGGTCTTGTGAAGGTTTTGGGAAGGTCTTGGGGAAGGTCTTGGGGAAGGTCTTGGGAAGGTCTTTGGGAAGGTCTTGGTAAGGTCTTGAGGAAGGTCTTGGGAAGGTCTTGGGACGGTCTTGGGGAAGGTCTTGGGGAAGGTCTTGGGGAAGGTCTTGGGAAGGTCTTGGGGAAGGTCTTTGAAAGGTCTTGGGAAAAAAAAGGTCTTTGGGAAGGTCTTGGGAAGGTCTTGGGAAGGTATTGGGGAAGGTCTTGGGAAGGTCTTGGGGAAAGTCTTGGGGAAGGTCTTGGGAAGATCTTGGGGAAGGTCTTGGGAAGGTCTTGGGGAAGGTCTTGGGAAGGTCTTGGGAAAGTCTTGGGAAGGTCTTGGGGAAGGTCTGGGGAAGGTCTTGGGAAGGTCTTGAGGAAGGTCTTGGGAAGGTCTTGGGAAGGTCTTGGGAAGGTCTTGGGAAGGTCTTGGAAGTCTTGGGGAAGGTCTTGGGGAAGGTCTTGGGGAAGGTCTTGGGAAGATCTTGGGAAGGTCTTGGGAAGGTCTTGTGCAAGGTCTTGGGGAAGGTCTTGGGAAGGTCTTTTTAAGGTCTTGGGGAAGGTCTTGGGAAGATCTTGGGAAGGTCTTGGGAAGGTCTTGGGGAAGGTCTTGAGGAAGGTCTTGGGAAGGTCTTGGGGAAGTCTTGGGAAGGTTCCTGGGGAAGTTTTGGGAAGTCTTGGAATGTCTTGGGGAAGGTCTTGGGGAGGTCTTTGGAAGGTCTTGGGGAAGGTCCTGAGAAGGTCTTGGGAAGTCTGGGACAAGGTCCTTGGGAAACAGGTCCTTGGGGAAGGTCTTGGGGGAAGGTCCTTGAGAAGGTCTTGGGAGGTCTTTGGGAAGGTCTTGGTGGAAGGTCTTGGGAAGTCCTTGGGGAAGGAGTCTTGGGAAGGTCTTGGGAAGGCTCGGGAAGGTCCTTGGGGAAGGTCCTTGGGAAGGTCTTGGAAGGGTCTTGGAAGGTCTGTGGGAAGGTCTTGGAAGGCTTTTGGGAAGGTCTTGGGAAGGTCTTGGGAAGGTCTTTGAAGTCTTGGGAAGGTCTTGGGAAGTCCTTGGGGAAGGTCTGGGGAGGCTTGGGAAGGTCTTGGAATGTCTTGGGGAAGGTCCTTTGGGGAAGGCTTGGGGAAGGTCTTGGGAAGGTCTTGGGAAGGTCTTGGGTAGGTCTTGGGGAAGGTCTTGGGAAGATCTTGTGAAGGTCTTGGGCAAGGTCCTTGGGAAGGTCTGGGAAGGTCTTTGGGAGGTCTTGGATGGTCATTGGGGAAGGTCTTGGGGAAGGTCTTGGGAGGTCTTGGGAAGGTCTTGGGAAGGTCTTGGGAAAGTCTTGGGAAGGTCTTCGGGAAGGTCTTGGGAAGGTCTTGGGAAGGTCATGGGCAGGTCTTGGTGAAGGTCTTGGGGAAGTCTTGGGGAAGGTCTTGGAAGTTCTTTGGGGAAGGTCTTGGAAGGTCTGTGGGGAAGGTCTTGGGGAGGTCTTGGGAAGGTCTTCTGGGAAGGTCTTGGAAGTCTTGGAAGGTCTTGGGACGGTTCTTTGGGTAAGGTCTTGGAAGGTCTTGGGAAGGTCTTGTGAAGGTCTTGGGAAAGGTCCTTGGAAGGTCCTTGGGAAGGTTCTTGGGAAGGTCTTGGGGAAGTCTTGAAGGTCTTGGGAAGGTCTTGGGAAGGTCTTGGGAAGGTCTTGGGAAGGTCTTGGGGATGGTCCTTCTGGAAAGGTCTTGGGAAGGTCTTGGGAAGGTCTTTGGGAAGGTCCTATGGGATGGTCTTTGGGGAAGGCCTTGGGAGATCTTGGGAAGGTCTTTTGGGAAGGTCTTGGGAAGGTCTTGGGAAAGGGTCCTTGGGAAGGTCTTGGAAGGTCTTGGAAGTCTTGGGGAAGGTCTTGGGAAGTCTTGGAAGGTCTTGGGAAGGTTCTTGGGAAGGTCTTGGGAAGGTCTTGGGAAGGTTCTTTGGAAGGTCTTGGGAAGGTCTTGGGGAAGTCTTGGGGAAGGCTTGGGGAAGGTCTTGGAAGTCATTGGGAAGGTCTTGGGAAGGTCTTGCGGAAAGGTCTTGGGAAGGTCTTGAGAAGGTCTTGGGGAAGGTCTTGGAAGGTCTGGGAAGGTTCTGGGAAGGTTCTTGGGAAGGTCTTTGGAAGGTCTTGAAGTCTGGGAAGGTCTTGGGAAGGTCTTGGGAATGTCTTGGAAGGTCTTGGGGAAGGTCTTGGGAAGGTCTTGGGAAGGTCCATGGGAAGGTCTTGGAAGGTTTTCCCCCCCCCCCCTTGGGGAAGGTCTTGGGAAGGTCTTGGGAAGGTCTTGGGAAGGTCTTTGGAAGGTCTTGGGGAAGGTCTTGGGAAGGTCTTGTGAAGGTCTTGGAAGGTCTCTGGGAAGGTCATGGAAGTCCTGGGGAAAAGGTCTGGGAAGGTCTTGGGGAAGGTCTTGGGAAGGTCTTGGGAAGGTCTTGGGAAGGTCTTGGGAAGGTCTTGGGAAGGTCTTGGGAAGGTCTTGGGGAAGGTCTTGGGGAAGGTCTTGGGAAGGTCTTGGGAAGGTCTTGGGGAAGGTCTTGGGGAAGGTCTTGGGGAAGGTCTTGGGAAGGTCTTGGGAAGGTCTTGGGAAGGTCTTGGGAAGGTCTTGGGAAGATCTTGGGAAGGTCTTGGGAAGGTCTTGGGGAAGGTCTTGGGGAAGGTCTTGGGAAGGTCTTTGGGAAGGTCTTGGGAAGGTCTTGGGAAGGTCTTGGGGGGAAGGTCTTGGGAAGGTCTTGGGAAAGTTCTGGGGAAGGTCTTGGAAGGTTTGGGAAGAGTCTGGAAGGTCTTGGGAAGGTCTTGGGAAGGTCTTATGGAAGGTCTTGGGGAAGGTCTTGGGAAGGTCTTGGGAAGGTCTTGGGAAGGTCTTGGGAAGGTCTTGGGAAGGTCTTGGGAAGGTCTTGGGAAGGTCTTGGTGAAGGTCTTGGGAAGGTCTTGGGAAGGTCTTAGGGAAGGTCTTAGGGAAGGTCTTGGGAAGGTCTTGGGAAGGTCTTGGGGAAGGTCTTGGGAAGGTCTTGGGAAGGTCTTGGGAAGGTCTTGGGAAGGTCTTGGGAAGGTCTTGGGGAAGGTCTTGGGAAGGTCTTGGGAAGGTCTTGGGGAAGGTCTTGGGAATGTCCTTGGAAGTCTTGGGAAGGGCCTTGGGAAGGTCTTGGAAGGTCTTGGAAGGTCTTGGAATAGGTCTTGGGAAGGTCTTAGGAGGACTGGGAATGTCTTGGGAAGTCTTTGGAAGGTCTGGAAGGTCTTGGGAAGGTCTTGGGAAGGTCTTGGGAAGGTCTTGGGAAGGTCTTGGGAAGGTCTTGGGAAGGTCTTGGGAAGGTCTTGGGAATGTCCTTCCTATGAACAAAATGAATTAATCAGATAATAAAATATTTTTTTTTATTACTTTTTATATCAATAAAATTTAATATTGGTTCTTTTATATTACTTAAGAATATTTACTCTCATTTATTTAAATATTTAAATGTTGCCTCTATTGCAATACTGCACAACACCTGTGTTTATTGCTGGTGTTTTGGTTTAAGTGATAATATCTGTGCATTTTAATTAGTCTTATCATAGGTGTTTTGGTCTCTATATGAGTGACAATATCTGTCCATTTTATAGTTTATTACAGGTGTTTTTGTCTCTCTGTAAGTAAGAATATTTGTGTATTAACGAGTGTCAGACGTTTTATATATGTGTATTGAAGAGTGTCACAGGTGTTTTAATCTCTATGTAAATGACAATTTCTATATATTTTAATTTATATCAAAGGTGTTGTGACCTCTCTACAAACGAGAATATTCGTTTACATTAAGTTGTAAATCACAGGTGTTTTTCTGCACAGGTGAGAAGCCAGCAGCGATACACCACAAGAATACAACTACAAACTCCTCTGAAGGAGGGAGTGCTGGCCACCTTCCTGCTGGCCCTCTCCATCTCCTGCTGGTGGGCCTCCTGCCGCTTCTGCTCACAACAGGAGGCCAGGACCTGCTGAATGCTCTGGGGAGGACGTTGGCGTGGTGGAGGGCGTGGTGGAGGGCGTGGGTAGGGGCGTGGTGGTGGTGGTGGTGGTGGTGGGAGGGAGACAGGTCCTCACCGTCTCCCTCAACCAACTTACCTGACTCTTTGACGAGATAAAAGTATCACGAGGCTCTAGTTGCGTCTTAAGTTCCCTGCTGCTGTTGCTGCTCCTGCTGCTGCTGTTGCTGCTGCTGATGATGATGTTGCTGCTGCGACAGCTCTGCAGGAAAGGTGCTGTGCCACTGTTGAAACTCTCTTTGTAATATAAATGATGCAAAAAACTGCGGAATACAGACAGTAAAGTTAATGCGATTGTTTCTCTGGGAGGTGTGAGGCAGTGTAGAGGCAGCGAGCAACCAGGACTGTGGGAGTGACCTGGTCAGCTCAGAGAGAGAGAGAGCGAGGAAGAGGAGACCAAGTCAAGTAGAGAGAGGAGTAAGAGAAGGAAGAGGAGGCCAACAACCTAGCACTAGGACAATGGAGGCCTTTCCAGAAGGACAAGCTGAGGACACAGACACGCCCTGAGGACACACACTCTCCCTGAGGACACAGACACGCCCTGAGAACACATCTTCCGGAAACCCGAGACACTCGCCTCCAGGTGATGGGGGAAGAAGCTGCCAAGCCAAGAAGGCCATAATGGTGTTAGTATAGTGTAACCGGAGGGTAATTTAGCTCTTATTTCTGGTAGGTGCTCAGTCCTGACTCCTGGCCAGTGTTTACTTACGTGTTACCAGGCGGACACTGAGACACTTTTTGTACTTCATCGTCAACATAAGTTTAACATGAACACACCTGTGGGAAAACTCGTTTTCTAAGATGAGACTAAATGTGGTTTTGTGATACAACGTGAAATGAAAGATCGCAGTGTTTAAAATAGTGTTTAACTCGTAAGAGAGAGCCTTAAAGAAATAAGGCCTTAAACATAAGTGTCTTCCCGTAAAGCTCTTCAGCTGGACATTTTCTTGATCTATTTCATAAATAGGGAGAATATATACATTGTAACACAAATATAATTTGTAGAAGGCGTAAAATGTGGGAAAATAGAGGATTTAATTGTCTATTTTTACCTGTACAATAAAGAAATATACCTTTATTAACTGTCTCAGGAAATTTGAGAAGGAAAGTATATATATGGAAATTATTCATGGATTGCCAGTAAGACAACAACAGGAATATTGTCTTATCCTGTCACTGGAAGAGAAGCCCAGGTATAATGTGTGAGAAATTAATATGAGATCAGGTAAAGTATTATTTGTGTGTGAGAGACGGTCAGTAATAGTGCACGCTAAGTAGTGATGGTCAGGGGTAAGTACACACACACACACACACACACACACACACACACACACACACACACACACACACACACACACACACACACACACATACACACACATACACACACATACACACGTTACTGCCTCCCAGATCTCTCAGTAGTTCATGGAATTTTGTCAAATTAAATGACTTAATCATTGATAGGACCAAAAGTCCCCAGTGTGTGTGTGTGTGTGTGTGTGTGTGTGTGTGTGTGTGTGTGTGTGTGTGTGTGTGTGTGTGACATCTAGCCCTGACATTTGTTCTTAACTTTCAGTTTTGACTCGTATCCACGAAACCTGGTCCTGTGTTCTATCAATTGATCAGTATCCTCTGATTCTAATGTTCATTGATCACTATCCTCTGATTCTAATGTTCATTGATCACTCTCCTCTAATTCTAAGAGTCATTGATCACTATCCTCTAATTCTAATGCAATAGTATTTTCACATCATATCAAATCTTTGGGAATCTAACGTTCTTTGAGATCTTAGAGTCCTGTGAGCTCTTAGAATCCTGTGAGATCTTAGAGTCCTGTGAGCTCTCAGAGTTCTGTGAGCTCTTAGAGTCCTGTGAACTCTTAGAGTCCTGTGAGATTCTAGAGTTCTTAGACTCCTTAGAGCTTTTGGAATCTTTGAGATCATAGAATTCTTTGAATTTTGAGGACATGTTGAGTTCTGATGGATGAGTTCTTGGGAGTCTCTGAGTTCTTGGGCCTTGAGTTCTAGGAATTTTTTGTGTTCTAGGGATTCTTTGAGTTCTTGAGCATTGAGTTCTACGAATTCTTTGAGTACTAGGGTTTCTTTGAGTTCTAGGGATTATTTGAGTTCTTTGGATTCCTTGAATTTTGGGGCTTTGAGTTCTTTGGGACCTTTGAGTTTTGGGGTTCCTTTTAGGCAGTCACATCGTTTCAGTTCTTGGGTTAACCTGAACTCTTTAACCACCGAGGTATTTGATAACACTGGGAATTTAGGGTTCTTTTTGCTGCTTCAAGATCATAGGGTTCATCGGGTCCTTAAAGTCGCTTAGAATTTTCAGAATCTTAGTATCTTTTGTATTCTTAAGGGTCTTTATTTTGTGAAGTCATCAAGACCTTCAATTTCTTTTCGCTTTTTAATCTTTTAGGTTTTTTTTAGTTCATTTTTAAGTAGTTAACTGCTTATTAGTCCTATGATTTTCTGGGTCCACCATGGTCCTTGAATTATTTGGGACCTTGTAGTCTTTCAAGTTCCTTTAGGTTCTTCAAGTCTTTTTGGGGAGGGCTTTGATGACAAGTCTTTCAGGTTCTTTCGGGTTCTTCGTGGGGCGTTAGAAGAGTGTAGAGGCATTGATGTCCATCTGTACCTGTTTTACATAAGAACATAGAACATACGAAACGAGGAACACTGCAGCACGCCTACGGGCCCATACCTGGCATGTTCTTGTCAAACCCAAACTCACTACAAAATATTACCCAAGGAATAAGCTCTGATGACGGTATTAACTCAAGTGCAAGCCCCAATCAAATCCAACCTCTCTCATTCATGTATTTATCTAACCTATATTTGAAGTCAAGGTTTTAGCTTCAGTAACCCAGCTAGGTAGACTGTTCCACTCAGCCACTAATCTATATCCATACCAGTACTTTCTGTATCCTTTCTCAATCTAAATTTATCTAATTTGAATCCATTATTTCGAGTTCTTACCTGAAGGGATATCCACGTGCTGGAGCCCGGAATAGGCCGTATCTCCCTCATCTACTCCTTCAGGAGTAGGGAGGCTTAGGAGGAAGGCTTGTAACGAAGATACGCAAGACAGCGTAGTGCAGGGCTGGAAGACGGAGTAGTCACTGTAAATATAAAAAGGTAAATAAGCCCGATTCACAAAATCAGCATAAAATAATGAAGGAAGGTAACGAATAAGCAGAAGAAAGGACCGGGTTTAACACCAAGTACCTTCTTCATTTTATTTGAATCTGATTCACGTTCAGGCAAGCAGGACCACCAGGAGAGGTGTACGTGTACAACATTAGTGGTGTACACTATGTGTGTGTACAATGTGTATACATATTCATTACGTTCGCGCATCATAGAGTGTATACATATTCATCCTGAGTGTACGTTCATGTGCAAGTATACCCATCATGCGTGCCCATGTTATTTCATACACGCGTATACATCCTTTGCCTTTGTGCATGTGTATGCAAATTCATCTAACGTGCGTATATTCATCCTGTGTGCGTATGTTCCTTTGTACGTGTGGTCTTGAGGAAATATGTGTAACCCAAATAGACAATTTTGCGTCACAAGAGTTTTTATAACTGTTCTGTATATATATATATTATATATATATATATATATATATATATATATATATATATATATATATATATATATATATATATATATATTTTATATATATACATATATATATATACCTATATATATATATATATATATATACATATATATATTCATATATACAAAACTAAGTTTTTATGCGTGGTGAGAATGTTGTCTGTGCATGTACACATACTGGAGATAACAGAGAGCACAGTGTAACATGCTCCTGCCACTCAATGTACTCTCTGAAGTACATCACGTTGATAGCCAGTGTGATGACGTGCTAGAAGCTGCGTCTGTACAGGTGTTTACCAAGTGTACAAGAATGTGCAACTCTGCAGGACGTGTGGTGAGTGCAGGGAGAGAATGTACTACCCTCCTGTGCTTTATAAGGTGGGTTGTACATGAACAAATATGTACATCCCACTAGCAAATACGGTGCGAGTACATGACGTTTTATACTGATGTAATAGCGTGTACTCTCAATGTATAGTGAGTGTACTGACACAAGAAAAAATATATATTCAAATGTGCTGAGTGTGTTCTGTGGGTTGTATATGTGACTGCAGACATTGTATATGTGACAACATTGTATATGTGACAACATTGTATATGTGACAACATTGTATATGTGACTAGTCATTATATATACGACTACAGTTTATGTAACTAGAGTCATTGTATATGTGACTGCAGTCATTGTATATGTGACAACAGTCATTGTATATGTGACTGCAGTCATTGTATATGTGACTACAGTCATTGTATATGTGACTACAGTCATTGTATATGTGACTCAGTCATTGATATGTCATCGTCAACAATGTATTCTATCAAATGTATATTTGTAATTGTCAGTGTTTGTGTGCTGTCGGGTTTGTATATGTGACTAAGTCATGTATATGTGACTACAGTCATGTATATGTGACTGGTGTATTGTATGTGTGTGTCAGCTTGTAATGTGTACAGTCATTGTATGTGATGTGTACTTGATATGTACAGTCATTGTATATGTGACTGTTATATGTCTTGTTATGTGAGTACAGTCATTGTATATGTGACTGCAGTCATTGTATGATGTGACTAGTCAGTGTATATGTCAGTATGTTGTGACTACAGTGTGATGTACAGTCATGTATATGTGACTACGTGCATTGTGAGTATGCGTATGTATTGTCATGTAGTTGTGTGGTTGTATGTGTGTGTGTGTGTATGTGTGTGCGCTGTGTGTGTAGTTGATGTGTGGTTGTGATGTGTGTGTGTGGTGTGTGTGTAGTGTGTGTGTGTGTGTGTGTTGTGTGTGTGTTGTTGTGTGTATTGTTTGTGTGTTATTGTGTGTGTGTGTGTGGTGTGTGTGTTGTGTGTGTGTGTGTGTGTGTGTGTGGTGGTTGTTGTGTGTGTGTGTGTGTGTGGTGTGTGTGTGTGTGGTTGTGTGTGTGTGGTGTGTGTGATGTGTGTGTGTGTGTATGTGTGGTGTGTGTGTGTGTGTGTGTTGGTGTGTGGTGTGTGTGTGTGTGTGTGTGTTGGGTGTGTTGTGTGTGTGGGTGTGTGTGTGTGTGTGTGTGTAGTGTGTTGTGTGTGTGTGTGGTGTGTGTGTGTGGTGTGTGTGTGTGTTGTTGTGTGTGTGTGTGTGTGTGTGTGTGTGGTGTGTGTGTGTGTGTGTGTGGGTGTGTGTGTGTGTTGTGTGTGTGTGTCAGTGTGTTGTGTTGTGTGTGGTGTGTTGTGTGTGTGTGTGTTGTGTGTGTGTGTTGTGTGTGTGTGTGTGTGTGTGTGGTGTGTGTGTGTGTGTGTGTGTGTGTGTGTGTGTGTGTGTGTGTGTGTGTGTGTTGTGTGTGTATGTGTGTGTGTTGTGTGTGTGTGTGTGTGTGTGTGTGTGTGTGGGTGTGTGGGTGTGGTGTGGGTGTGGTGTGTTGTGTGTGTGTGTGTGTGTGTGTGGTGTGGTGTGGTGTTGTGTGTGTGTGTGTGTGTGTGTGTGTTGTGTGTGTGTGTGTGGTGTGTGTGTGTGTGTGTGTGTGTGTGTCTGTGTGTGTGTTTTGTACTCACTTAATTGTGGTTGCAGGGGTCGAAACTCAGCTCCTGGCCCTGCCTCTGTGTGTGTGTGTGTGTGTGTGTGTGTGTGTGTGTGTGTGTCTTCCAGTTGGCTACTAGAGTGTTTATAAACATAGATTTACCCGTTGTAAAACAATATTCAAATATATTACCTGAAGACCATTGAGTTTTTCTTTACCCTGTCACTCCTCCCCTTCCCCCTCCCCCCCCAAAAAAAAAACTTCACCATCACTTATGCAATGCCTGTCTCCTGCGTCACCCAGTATCTACCCTGTCCAGAATCTATCACCGGTAGACTGCTGGTAGCTTCACTCACAAATTGGGCCTACGACCTGATAATGTTGTAAGATTGACCGAAAGGTCGTCTAAAGTCGCTACCTTCTGGCCGCCATTGTTGTTAGTAATAGTAGCTATTCTCAGGTTTACCATCACTGCTTGGTAACACTAGTAACAACCCTTGTGTTAGCCAGGAGTAGTTGAACAAGCAAGCCAGGCTTGTGTGTTGAAGCCGCAAGCCAGGCTTGTGTGTTGAAGCAGCAAGCCAGGCTTGTGTGTTGAAGCAGCAAGCCAGGCTTGTGTGTTGAAGCAGCAAGCCAGGCTTGTGTGTTGAAGCCACAAGCCAGGCTTGTGTGTTGAAGCAGGAAGCCAGGCTTGTGTGTTGAAGCAGCAAGCCAGGCTTGTGTGATGAAGCAGCAAGCCAGGCTTGTGTGTTGAAGCAGCAAGCCAGGCATGTGTTTTGAAGCATCAAGCCAGGCTTGTGTGTTGAAGCAGCAAGCCAGGCTTGTGTGTTGAAGCAGCAAGCCAGGATAGTGTGTTGAAGCAGCAAGCCAGGCTTGTGTGTTGAAGCACCAAGCCAGGCTTGTGTGTTGAAGCAGAAAGCCATGCTTGTGTCTTGAAGCAGCAAGCCAGGCTTGTGTGATGAAGCAGCAAGCCAGTTTTGTGTGTTGAAGCAGCAAGCCAGGCTTGTGTAATGAAGCAGCAAGCCAGGCTTGTGTGATGAAGCAGCAAGCCAGTTTTGTGTGTTGAAGCAGCAAGCCAGGCTTGTGTGATGAAGCAGCAAGCCAGGCTTGTGTGTTGAAGCAGCAAGACAGGCTTGTGTGTTGAAGCAGCAAGACAGGCTTGTGTGTTGAAGCAGCAAGACAGGCTTGTGTGTTGAAGCAGCAAGCCAGGCTTGTGTGTTGAAGCAGCTAACCAGGCTTGTGTGTTGAAGCAGCAAGCCAGTTTTATGTGTTGAAGCAGCAAGCCAGGCTTGTGTGATGAAGCAGCAAGCTAGGCTTGTGTGTTGAAGCAGCAAGCCAGGCTTGTGTGTTGAAGCAGCTAGCCAGGCTTGTGTGTTGAAGCAGCAAGCCAGGCTTGTGTGTTGAAGCAGCAAGCCAGGCTTGTGAGATGAAGCAGCAAGGCAGGCTTGTGTGTTGAAGCAGCAAGCCAGGCTTGTGTGTTGAAGCAGCAAGCCAGGATAGTGTGTTGAAGCAGCAAGCCAGGCTTGTGAGATGAAGCAGCAAGGCAGGCTTGTGTGTTGAAGCAGCAAGCCACGCTTGTGTGTTGAAGCAGCAAGCCAGCCTTGTGTGTTGAAGCAGCAAGCCAGGCTTGTGAGATGAAGCAGCAAGGCAGGCTTGTGTGTTGAAGCAGCAAGCCAGGCTTGTGTGATGAAGCAGCAAGCCAGGCTTGTGTGTTGAAGCAGCAAGGCAGGCTTGTGTGTTGTAGCAGCAAGCCAGCCTTGTGTGTTGAAGCAGCAAGGCAGGCTTGTGTGATGAAGCAGCAAGCCAGGCTTGTGTGTTGAAGCAGCAAGCCAGGCTTATGTTTTGAAGCAGCAAGCCAGGCTTGTGTGTTGAAGCAGCAAGCCAGGCTTGTGTGTTGAAGCAGCAAGACAGGCTTGTGTGTTGAAGCAGCAAGACAGGCTTGTGTGTTGAAGCAGCAAGACAGGCTTGTGTGTTGAAGCAGCAAGACAGGCTTGTGTGTTGAGGCAGCAAGACAGGCTTGTGTGTTGAAGCAGCAAGACAGGCTTGTGTGTTGAGGCAGCAAGACAGGCTTGTGTGTTGAGGCAGCAAGACAGGCTTGTGTGTTGAAGCAGCAAGACAGGCTTGTGTGTTGAAGCAGCAAGCCAGGCTTGTGTGTTGAAGCAGCAAGCCAGGCTTGTGTGTTGAAGCAGCAAGACAGGCTTGTGTGTTGAAGCAGCAAGCCAGGCTTGTGTGTTGAAGCAGCAAGCCAGGCTTGTGTGTTGAAGCAGCAAGACAGGCTTGTGTGTTGAAGCAGCAAGTCAGGCTTGTGTTTTGAAGCAGCAAGTCAGGCTTGTGTGTTGAAGCAGCAAGCCAGGCTTGTGTTTTGAAGCAGCAAGTCAGGCTTGTGTGTTGAAGCAGCAAGTCAGGCTTGTGTTTTGAAGCAGCAAGTCAGGCTTGTGTTTTGAAGCAGCAAGCCAGGCTTGTGTGTTGAAGCAGCAAGACAGGCTTGTGTGTTGAAGCAGCAAGCCAGGCTTGTGTGTTGAAGCAGCAAGCCAGGCTTGTGTGTTGAAGCAGCAAGCCAGGCTTGTGTGTTGAAGCAGCAAGACAGGCTTGTGTGTTGAAGCAGCAAGCCAGGCTTGTGTGATGAACAGCACGCCAGGCTTGTGTGTTGAAGCAGCAAGCCAGGCTTGTGTGATGAACAGCACGCCAGGCTTGTGTGATGAAGCAGCAAGCCAGGCTTGTGTGATGAACAGCACGCCAGGCTTGTGTGTACAAACACCATGTCGGGCAAATTGTTATTTCATCCAAAAATAAAGACCACTTCACAGACCGTCGGAAAAAAATAAAAGAAATAGTCCAAGTAATAGAATGTGCCTAGGATTATTTCGTCCTCTTGAGGATAGTTTATGTGGATGAAAGTGGCGGCAGTGAATGACTGAGCCAGCAAGTAGAGCCACTGGCTGCCACTTCAAA